GAGGAGGAAGAGGGAAAAAGAGAAGAGAGAAGAAAGGAGGGTAGGCACGAAGACTGCCTTGGAGTGGTGAGAGGTTAGCATCTCCTATTAAGCAGCTGTGTCAAATCCTGGAGAGGTTAGCCTGGCCATTGTGGCTCAGTGTTGAGCATCGATCTATGAACCAGGAGGCCATGGTTCAATTCCTGGTCAGGGCACATGCTTGGGGGTGGGCTCTATCCCCAGTAGGGGGCATGCAGGAGGCAGCCATTCAATGATTCTCTCTCATCATTGATGTTTATATCTCTCTTTCCCTCTCCCTTCCTCTCTGAAATCAATAAAAAAAAAATTTTTTTTTAATTAAAAAGAAAACCAGGAGAGGTTACTTATTGGGAAGTGAGAAATGGGATGAGAATAAAGGGGGGAAAGACCGGACTTGGTGGTGAGATCTTGGGCCCTTTGAAATGGCAGTGCTGGAGTTAAAGGTGAGGGTAGAAACCACATCATTATGGGCTACGGGGGTGGGGGGAGAAAGATGAGGAGGGGGGCGTGAAGAGCATTAGGAAACGCAGGGACAGCCATGAGAGAAGCTCAACCTCAGCACCATGCCACGGGCCCACATGGGTATCCCCAACGGGACCCACCCCGTCCTCTCCTCGGAGCCACTGTCCTCTGCTTTGAGCCACCGGCTTTCCCTCCAGTAGCTCAGAGGCTCACACTGCTTCCCACACTGGGTTTGTCCTCCCTCCCAGCAGCGGTGGAAGAAGAGGGGCTCCTTCTTTCTTTGATGCTCTTGAACTCCCTTGATTTCATAGCGTTTATTACCAAAGATGAGCAAACAAGACAACCAGAAGGTCAACAACAATAATGAAAATGACAACAAGTCTGAACTAAAATAGGGAGCAATTAAATTTCCAAATTCTTGACAGACTACTAAAATCACAATCCTGACTCCCTGCTAGGAACTTGCTTTTCATTTTCCTTGTAAAGGTGATGGTGACCTGACCGCTTTCTTTTTGCTCCAAGGTAGGCCCTTCTCTCCTTAGAAGCCTCCCTCCAGGACAAAAGAAACTGTCAGGGACTAGCAATACCAGTAAATGCCTCTCAGGGCATCATAGCCAATAAGATCAAGAGAAATGTTTCTTAAAATTGAATATTTTTAAAAAGTTCACACAATAAATACACGACGGGTCATTACACTATTATCTCTACATTTTTGTGTATGTTTGAAATTTTCCATAATAAAAAGTTAGGGAGGAAAAGCCCATAGCTGCAAGAATGTACAACTTAAGGAATGTGCTGAAATAATAAATTTTTAAAAACACACAAATGTTTTTGATCTGATGTTTCCTGAAAACAAGGTTCCCAACTAATTCTGGTGGAAAAAGAAAAATTAAGGATACTTTATAGGACCAAAAAAAGACTGTTTAAAAAAAACACATGTAGAAAGAGATAATAAAAAGAACAAAGTACTTATGTTCTAGGGCAGGTCATAAAAAACTCACTCAATGCCGAAACCGGTTTCAAGCCCTAGGCCGGTTTGTCTCAGTCGATAGAGCATCAGCCTGTGGACTAAAGGGTACCGGGTTTGATTCCGGCCAAGGGCACATGCCCGGGTTGCAGGCTGGATCCGCCCAGTAGGGAACATGCAGGAGGCAGTCAATCAATGATTCTCTCTCATCATTGATGTTTCTATCTCTCTCTCTTCCTCCCTGAAATCAATAAAAAATATATTTTTAAAAAAAGAAAAAAAAACAAATGCTTTCTCAAATTAAAGGGATTGAGTTGAACTAACTGCTTAAAACAAAGAGCTATAAAATAATTACTATATTTTCAAAGGCACTTCAAAATAAGGGTGCATTTAAATATTTTTTAATTAAAATATTCCAAATATTTTAAATTTTATATTATTTTTTCACCTAGTTTAGAAATAGAAAATGTTAAATGTTCTCTATTCATTATTTATCCATCCATTCATTTATTCACTTAACAAAAATGTGATGAATGACAATCATAGGTTACACAACAAGGATGTAAAAATGAACCAAACCAGATGGGGTCCCTGTTCTCCTGAAACGTAGGCGAGAGAGATAGACATTAAAAAAACAAATGAACAAAGTTTATTACAGATAACATACAATATAAGTAAAGTTGATTCTCATTACTCAAGATTGATACAGTTTATAAAGTCAACATTAACAATGAATTAGTGAATATTGAACTACTGGTCCCCCAAACTTTAATCCAGGGGTCAGCAAACTATGTTCCCCGGGACAAACCCAGCCTGCCATGTGTTTCAGATCGAACTACCGATTTAGAGGACATATAGGAGACAAAGGCACCTACTACCTGACATCACAGAATGTAATCAGCAAAATAGAACATGCAACCCTAGACGTCGCCTATTTTTTTTCCATACTGCCCAGTTCTTGCCTTACGGTTTCCACACCTTCATCTCCTTGAATATTATAAATCTAATTTTTCCCATCATGTCCATCATTTTTTAGTTTAGGGATACAAATCTCCCATTTGCTAAATCTGCCAAGTCTCCTTCCTTGTGGTCCACTTCCTTATGTAGTTTGTATGAAGTAAACGTGTGAGCTCATCTTTGGAAAGACTGCTGTCTATAGGACTCCATGGTCCCTGAGCTGCAGAAACTTCGCTGCAGAGAGGTTTTCCATGCGTCTCTGCCTGGACCTGGGTTTCAGAGGTGCCAGTTAATATGTCCATTTTTGGGATTGGGATCCCTTAACCATGAAGTAATATGGATTCAGGCCTCAGACGTGTGCTGTACAGGATCTGAAGCTCCGTCTAGTAGCTGACTCTTTTCCTAGTGCAAGTGGATGGCCAGCTTCCTTGCAGCCTCCTCAGACCAATGGAGGGCATTTTTCTGGTTACCATCTCAATGTCAAGGTTCTTGTGGCTGGTTGTGTTTTTCAAGGAAGAATGCACTAATACATATCCATCCCCACACATTCTTCCTTCTGTGTAATGTCGACACTCCTCCTTCAAGAGGTGAAGTCTGTTTCTCTCCCTGAACCTAACTTCCTCAGTCAATACGATGTAGTCAAAGTGCCTGTGTGATTGCCAAGGCGAGTTCATAAACGTGGCTCTCTCTTGGAATACTCACCTTTGAAACCCAGCCGCCATATTGTGAGGAGGCCAGGTGGTAGGAAGAGGCCCCAGCTAAGGTCTCAGTCCACAGCCAGCACCAACCACAGACACAGGAGTGAACAAGCCCCAAGTCTTCAAGTCCTCCACTGGAGGCCCCAGACGTGGGGAGGCAGAGCCATGCTGACCGTCCTGTGCACTGTCCAGATTCCTGACCCACAGAATCCATGAGCACAGCCAGTGGTTGTTTTCCACTACGTTTTGGAGGAATTTGTGATGCAGTCATAGTAATGGGAACAGTATTCCTTTGTGATTCCCAGCTTTCGGCAGATGCTCAACAGTGGCTTCCTAGGTGAACATGCCTTCATGTATGGCACCTGGGCATTTCTTTCTCTTGCTTCCTAGCCCAGCCACCTATCCATAAGTTACCTTATTATATTTACCCCACATTGGAGATATAATGAGGCAGAATGGAGTCTTCTTCATGTCAGCTCACTCTGCCCAGAAGTTCCCAGAATAATTTTTCGAATGAAGACATAAAGAACTGAAGAATTTATTTTATGTACAAGGATACTTAGGAATAAAAATTAAAATGAACCCTATAGAAAGTATATTTATTAAAGAATAGGTAACTTGTTACAGAAAAAAAAAATAGAAATGGTCAATAAAGTTCATCCTCAGTAGTACTACAATAAAAGCAATATAATGAGCTGTAACTTTTGCCAAACGAATGGCAAGAATTTTTTCTGTACTACTCAACAGTGTAAGATGGGTTTCAAGGAACTAGGCACTCTCATAGGTTTTAGTATATGCATTTTTTAAATCCTCACCCAAGGAGTGAGAATATTTTTCCATTGATTTTTAGAGAGTGGAAGGGAGGGGGGAAGAGGAGGAGAGGAAACATCAGTGTGAGAGAGACACATTGATTGGTTGCCTCCCACACATGCCCCAACTGGAGGTGGGGATCAAACCTGCAGCCCAGATATATGCCCTTGACCGTAAATCAACCCTGCACAAAACAACGCTCTAACCACTGAGCATGCCAGCCAGGGCTAGTAAATGCATTTTTATAGCATTTCCAGATAGCAATATGTATGTCCTTAAAATTTTATGTACGTCTGACCCAGAAATTCACTTCCAGGAATTAATCCTAAAGGAATAATCATTGACACACACAATATTTATCTTCAAGAATGTCAAATTCTGTATTTTTATAATAAAAAGAAAAAAGGCTGAAAATAATCCAAACATCAAACAGCAGATGGTAAGATTATCTTGAATTTTAGCTTTGTTTAAACCAAAATAATTATCAAGTAAACACCAAGACAAGCTATAGATTCATTAAGAAAGCTGGTTATTTATTTATCCATGTCAGTCATTGTGCTAGAAGCTGAAGTACAAAAATGGTGAAGATGCAAAAGCCTATAGTGTACTGAGGGGAAAAAGTAAATGATTATAGTTCATTGTGATAACTATTCATGATAAAGCTGTGGTACTACAGAGCCTTTGCTAACCCTGAGTGTGCGAGTCGGAGAGTTTTGCTTCTGATTTTAAGCAAGGACGTCAAGCTAAGTGCCACAGGTTTTGATAAGAAGAAATGAACTGTGGCAGAACAGGCTGCATGCCTACCAGAATTCTTGCTCCTCTGGAGAACAGAGCTGTTCCTGGGAAGTGGCTGCCTCCCTGAGATGGGAATGTGAGAAAATGCAAGCTTCCTTTATGCAGGAAGCTTTTATGAAGCAGGTCTGCTTTCTCCACACTCTTTCCTTCCCTTTCTGCTGGCTGCAACTAGACAAGAGCAAATTGCTCGTGAATGGCAGAGCCTGGATCCTACTACTTATGGGAAGAAAGCAGCCTGCTGATCAGGAACGCCAGGTGCTCTAGTAGCATCATTTTGTTTAAAGTCGTTTTGTGTGCTCGCTTCAGCAGCATATATACTAAAATTGGAATGATACAGAGATTAGCATGGTTCCTGCACAAGGATGACACCCAAATTTGTGAAGCGTTCCATATTTTTTTTGGGGGGAGGGAATAGTTGCTTTGTAAATGAAAAAAACAACTCAATTCTGGCTGGGGCCACTGTCTGTGTGGGGTTTGCACATTCTCCCCATGTATGCGTGGGTTTTCTCTAGGTCTTCCATGTTCCTCCCACATCCCAAAGACGTGCACATGAGATAAATGAGGACGCACTCTATATGTTAGATCACTTAAATGTTGAGGTCTGTTTGTGACTATAGCTAACAATACACTAATACATGCAATCTTTTATTCCCAAGTGAATGTATTAGCTCACCTACTCAAATATATTCACTAAGCATGTACTACGTGCACATGAGTGTGCCAGGTGCTTCATAAACACAAAGATAAACTAAATAGAGATCCTGCCTTCACAGAATTTCCTGTCCTAAAGGAAAAACAATAGCCATTCATACAGCTACAACATGAGGCGAAGTGTGAAATCACAGCCCAAGGGGTGATACATACATAACGCCTCATATTAGAGGAGTTAAAAGACAGGAGATGTGACCTTCACAAGGAGGTTCAAGACTTAGGAGACACTAGAAAATGACATTTATATAAAATTCAAACAGGCAGAAATGTGGGTAATGACATTCCTGGAAAGATACAGGTGTGAAAAGATGCCATGGAAAATGGAGACATGGTTCAGGTAAAGGCATCCTGAGAAACAATGAACTGATAGACCAGAGGTGGGGGGTGAAGGGAGTGGGGGGAGATCACAGACACATCCGAATGCAGTTTGTGCTTTCTTCCCGGAGCAATGGGAGGGCACAGAAGGGCCTTGCACTGAGCTGTGGCAGAGGCTGAGACAGTTAATACAATAGCCCAGGGTGCTTACATTAGAGTAGCAGCAGTGAGAATGCACTATTAACGACTGATTGAGTTTAGGAGGTTCAGCAAAGAAAAGGGATTTAAGGTGATTTAAAGAAAAGGGATTTAAAATTCTAGGTTGACTAAGAATTATGGAACCATGAATTAAATTCAAAGAGAAAGAGCTGGCCCGGGGGTGGAGGACAAGGAACTGTTTTAGATACCATGAGTCTAGAACAGCCGTGGGCAAACTACGGCCCGCGGGCTGGATCCGGCCTGTTTGAAATGAATAAAACTAAAAAAAAAAAAGACCGTACCCTTTTATGTAATGATGTTTACTTTGAATTTATATTAGTTCACACAAACACTCCATCCATGCTTTTGTTCCGGCCCTCCGGTCCAGTTTAAGAACCCATTGTGGCCCCTGAGTCAAAAAGTTTGCCCACCCCTGGGCTAGAACCTCCAGGTAGAGCTTTAACCTGGGTTTAAGCTACAGGAGTTGAAGACTATAGGTTTGGCTGGGAGATGAAAAATTTAAGTTATCTATTTACTGGTGAGAAGTGAGGCCGGAGACTAAAGTTGCCAAAGGAGATTTGAGAGAGAGAAGCAAGCCAGATTTCCTCAAAATATACACAAGGCAGAAAGATAAAGAAAAGGCAGAGAAGTGAGTGGAGAGGCAGAGGACACAGAGGAATCAGAATCACAGGAAGTTCTGGACCATGTCCAGTTCGATAGAAGCAGAGAAAAGAACTATCAGTAATACTGTAACATCAAATACACAATCACATCTAATCCCCAAACAACTCAAGGAAACAATTCCGTTACTGATCCAACAAAGAACACAAGCACTGGAATAAAAAGAACTTGGATTCTAATCTTGACTCTGACTCTGCCCTTTAATAGCTGCATAACTATAGGATCATGAAGAAAAGAAAATAATAGTGCCTGTGATTTGCATTGTATTAGTGAGGATTAATGCCCCACTCCACTCTGCCTCGCCAGCCAGGATTAATTCTAAAACATGTGCAAAGTGTTCAAAGCCGCACTGGACATGTAATAAACACTCAGCAAGTGAAAGCTATTGTTTTGTTTTTAAATGATAAACATAGGTTTTTCCAAACACAGCCTGCTGATGGAAATGTCAATGTAAAGACTTTTAAGAAGGCAAGATTCCACCAACATTTTTTAGTGTACATATACCTGACCCAGCAATTCTGCTTCAAGAAATTAACTTTGTAGAACTATTCCCAGGGGTAAGAATGTTCACTGTTTGTAATAAGGAAAAGTTGGAACCAACCTTAATGCAAGATGGTTATATAGATTATGATACATCTATACCACATGATCACACATCTATCTATATGATACATCTATGAAATATTCAATGCCGACCTATATAAAAGATATGATAGGCATCTACCATATCCTCATAAGTGAAAAAGGTAATTTCTCAAAGGAATCCATACATGATTCCATTGATATTATGATGCAATTTCAAAAATGTAGGAACTTAAAAAGGAAATGTCAGAAGTATTTTTGAAGGAAAGCCATTGTAACTGGAGACTTAACTCACCATTAGCAACGTGAGTAGAAAGTCAGTAAGATGAAGAGCAAGGATTCCGGAGGGGAAAAGTCAGTAAGATGAGGAGGACACACAATGCCCAGAAATGGGTGCAAAATTGGTTTGTCTAGAAAGAGGCTCCACAGTTTTCATGTCTCATCCCAAAAGGCTGTAGGGGAAGTGGCCGGTACAGAACAGACGCCGAGCATCACACAAATCTCTTGTAGTATTTTCAACCCCGCATGAAAACAGTAATCAGCTCAAATTACAGGTAAATCAGAAATGGTACAAAGCAAAATCCGCAATGAAAATGGGGCCAGAGCTTTCTAATAAACACAATTGGCGTCGCAAACCTGCTCCATCCACGTGGCCCCGTGCATGTGCGGTGGAGGACAGTAAACACCCCCCCTGCACCGCGCGTGCGTCTGCTGGCGGGATGGCTGAGGGTGCTGGTCTGTTCCGGAAAGGGGGTGGGGGCGCAAAGGTACAGATCAGGTGGTGGTCCTCCCTGGCTTCGCTCGCTCCCATCTCAGCCCCGCCCTCCCTGGCCTCCCTGCCTGGTCCCCTGGAAAAGAACTCTAGGAGTGACCCACGTGCCTCGCAAGGCTAGTTCTCCCTTCCCGGGAGGAGGTCGGGCAAGGTCCCTGGGCCCTCAGGCCGCCCACACTCACTGTGTCAGCAGCTCCATGGGGTGAAGGGGCTTCCTCGCCTGCCGGGCCCAGGGTGGTGGCACCCAGATCTGAGTCTGGGGCATTGGGGGCATTGGGACCAGCGGGGGCAGCGGGCAGCTCGGGAGCCGGCGGCGGGGCACTGCGGGACTGGGCCGGCCAGGCCGCCGCAAGGGCCGCCGCAAGCTAACGGGGTCGCCGCTCTCGGGGCGAACATGCTGGGCTGCCCGCAGCCCGATGATGCTCAGGAGAGGGGAGCGCCCGGCCCAGCCCACAGCGGCCCGGAGGCTGCAGCCCTGCCGGCCAGACGCGCCCCCGTTGCCAGGCGCCTGGAGCTTCCGGCTGCCCTCCCTGCTGTCGCCCGCCGCCATCCCTGCCGTCCCTCTGGGAACCGAGCTAGGAGGGTGCTTGGGCAGCTGGGAGACACCCTACCCCGCCCCCGGGGTCACAGATAAAGGGGTCGGAGTTGGGGACGGTGGCGAAACAAGGCTGGTGAACGAATCAGTCCTGAAACAAGGTCATAGGGGCAGGAAAAGTACACCCAGCTTCAGGGTGGGTGGTGGGCAGTTGGACAAGGCCGGCGATGCGCAGTCCTAAGTTGCATTTTTAAGATTCAAACTACCAGGGTCCCAGAGTACTGATGAGTCTGGACCTTTCAAACACCCCAGTAATACCTGACTAGTCCCGTCTAGGGTAAGTGACAGAATCACACCGAATTCCCTCCCCCCTCCGCCGGAATTCCATGTTCTAGGCTTCCTTTGTCTGGGTTCTTTGGTGAAGGCTTACATGTGTCCTCTCCCTAGCAAGGAAGCCTGCCTAGCACCCTGACCTGCACAGGACCTTAGCTGTACTCCTGACCCCACAATAGGCTGCAAATTTAGCCCTGGTAATATGGTTTCATAGGGATAGTGGTATATTTACCTAGAGGAATAGCCAGGGGAAAATATTTGGAGTCAAAACCAATTAGGAACTCAGTTCTGGGGCTGCACTCAGAAGTGGAGAACCACGGACCTATGATTATGTGCATTAAATGTACACTCCACTCAATTCGTGATCAAATGTTCATTAACTGGCTGCTTTTAAGTCTTGCTATCACATCCTCTTGGCTATCACCACCCCTGCCCCCAGCTCTGTGCCAACTCCAGGCCTGGCTCCTATTGTTTTATAACCAGGTACCCAAATCCTACCAACCTATGTGAAACTTCCAATCCTCACAGTGGAACCATCTCTATATTCTCCTAACATGTTGCTCTGTTTTCACTTACTATTATCCCTAGACAATAAAACTCATACATCCACAATCCAGCCCCTACTCTTTTCACCATTCCCCATCCAAACACCCAAGGACTACATGTGCCAACTGGAGATACATCATTTTAAATGGCTACTGCCCTTTAAGAGGATTAACTCAAAGCAGCAACTGGCATGGGATGCACCAGGCATTGTAAGGACTAGAACAGAGAAGGAGGTGACTCAAAGACAAGGTAACGGAGTTTTATCAGACAGTAAGAGATGCTATGAAGAAAAACATTCTATGAAGAGGTGTGTCAGAGACCTTTTACCCAAATGAAAAAGCCAAGTACACAGACCTGAGGGCAGTGTTCCAGACACAATATTACAAGTGCCGAGACCCTACATTAGAAGCTTCTCATTTACGAGGAACAAGAAAAAATATAGCCGGGAGCCATATGTTAAAGATTAAAGATGGCCCTTCCAAAGATTTCCGTCCTATTTCCTGGGACCCGAGGACATGCTACCTTATGCAGGGACTTTGCAGATGAGCCAGAATTAAGGTATTTGAGATGGGAAGACTACCCTGGATTACCTGGGTGGCCCAATGTAATAACCAGGGTCCTTGTGAGAGGGAGGCAGGAGGAGCAGAGCCAGAGGTGATGGGAAGATGGAAACAGATGGCACGCTGAAGATGGAGGAAGGGGTGACGAGCCAAGCAATGCAAGCAGCTTCTTAAGTCTCCCCTGAGTTCCAGAAGGCAGGCCCGCTGACAATTTGGTTTAGCCTAGTGAACCAGATTTTGGACTTCTGACTTCCAAAACTGTTAAGACAATAAATCTATGGTTTAAGTAACTTCAGTTTGTGATTTGTTACCACAGCAACAGTAAACATACATAGTGCCTACATGGAGACATGCAGGTTCAGTTCTATACCGACACAATAAAGCCATTCATCTTTGCTAAAGGGTCTTGCCACATCTGCGAAACAATTAAAATGAGGTGTGCTGTGTGTTACATGTACGATAAAAAGGCTAGCCTTAAAGAGAGGGATGCCTGTATGAGAACAATGTTTTGTCCAGTTTGATACCAAATCTGTAAAGGAAAACAGTGGGGGGCAGAAAGTTGTCAATCTTCCCCTGGAGGTGGTCCTCAAAGACCCCAATAAACTCACTTTCTAGCGGTCCCTGTAGCACGTACATCTCCGTATTTGTTTCGTCTATCTTGCCCATTTCATTCACACGAGAACAGAGGCTTATTTTCATTTGTATGCCCCTAATAAGTACTCAAATTTTACAATAAATGCTTACTTAGCACTTTGAGCCACGCACTGTTCTGAGCATTTTACTTGACCAAACACATTTAATCCTTTAAATCCTCTGAAACCAGGTATTACTATTTCCCCCATTTTGCTGATAAGGAAAGGTTAAGTAATTTATTAAGCTAGTAAGCAGTTTGGCTCCAAAGCCAGCACTCTGATCCAGCCTACCAGAGGAACCTTCTAGGCAACGCGAGGCACCATCGGCTAAAGGCCAGTGAGGCAACAGATGACACTTTCTGAAGACAGGGGCAGCAAGAGACCTAATAAAGCCGGCACTTCAGAGGGTACAAATGGAAATGCACAGGTGAGTGTGTAGCCGTAGCACCTAATTAGAGGCCCAGACCTTCAGAAAGGTTGGTTAGCCTTCTTCCTTTTAGGAGAGGTGGGCTAAGTAAAACAAGGTATTGAGCTGCATTTATATAGGTTTTAACAGTTCACAGAACATTTCCCTATCCACTATCTTCATGACTCTGTGATGAAGGTAGACCCACTGTCCCCTTTTTACTCACCAGGAAACTGACAGCTTCAATTGTCACAAGCTGCCGGGTGACAATTGAAGCTGTCAGTTTCCTGGTGAGTAAAAATGTGACAGTGGGTCTACCTTCTCCCTCTATTCCCTCTGACACTCCTACTAGATTCCTTAATTCTGAAGCAATCCTAATCTGGATGTCTCCAACTCCTCCCCACTCCCAAACAGGTCCCTATTCTCTGGCCACACTTGGGAAATAATTTATAGGATTAAAAACGGGAATGTATCTACCAAGGACAGAAACAGCCCAGTCCATTTCTTTATCCTAGATATTCGTGAATTTCCTAGCCCTCACCAGCTTCAAAAGCTGTGCTACTTTGGGTGGTGATGCATCAATGTCTAGGGATCCTAACAAACCTACGGCTGTCCATTGCAGGCAAGATTGTTGAGCACTTGGGGACAGGGGCATATGGAAGTGCCCCTTTATCCTCAGTTTTGCTTTCTATGATTTCAATCCAAAACTATATGAAAATTCCAGAATTAAACATGTTTTAAATTGCACAGCATCCTGAGTAGTGATGAAATGACTCGCCCAGGCCTGGTGGTGACAATCCCTTTGTCTAGTACCTCCATACTATATACACTCCTTGCCTGTTAGTCATTGAATAGCTTTCTCAGTGATCAGATTGACTGCCCCTGTATTGCAGTGCTTGTGTTCAAGTTACCATTATTTTACTTTAAAGCCACATTCACATAACTTACTACAATATGGTTATAATGACTATTTTATTATTGTTAACCTCTCATTGTGCCTAATTTACATATCAAAGGTATGTATGTATAAGAAAAAATAGTATATATGGGGCTTGGTACTATCCAGTTTTAGGCATCCACTGGGAATCTTATCTCCTGTGGATAAGGGGACTACCATATCTAACCAATTTTACCATAAAAATAAAATAAAAAGGTGCCCTAGCCGGCTCAGCTCAGTGATTAGAGCATCAGCCTATGTACTTAAGGTCTCAGGTTCGAGTCCCAGCCCCAAGGGGCACATGTGAGAGGCGACCAGTCGATGTCTCTCCCCATTTTCTCTAAAAAATAAATGGAAAAAAAACATCCTCAGGTGAAGATTAAAAAAAAAAAAAAGCTGTGTCAAATGCCATCACCCATATAGAGTGTCACTTCTATGTATTACTATCCCAATTCCTCCAACATTTACCTTCCCACGCCTAGGTAGTTAGCAATATGCCATCTGTACAACTTTATTACAATAATGCAATTTTTTTCTTCACAGCCACGTTCTACCTTTCAGGATACTGGATGAGCAAAGGCTGGGATGGGGGACTGGGACTGTATCTACTTGAGCAGCAAAACAAAATGGTAACTTCAAAACTCAGACTCTTAGACGCCACCTAAAGATTAATGTACATTGGTTATTTTTTTTGTACAGTGATCCAACTGTTAGTACTAAGACACTAAATTTCTTGCAACACAGGTATACTCAGACGTGTATTACTGATTTGATAGACTAAAGGACCTTAACTTTAATTTCTCTCCAGAATTCATTGACCCTAAATTCACTAGTCTGGAGAAACAGCTTCCAAGACCAAAGAATTTAAAGGAATTCTTAAATGTATTTATCTAGCAACTTTCAAATACTAAAAAGTAACGATTCTGGTGCAAAAGTGTCAAAAGAACAGGGCACGTGTTTCATATACATCATACCCTTGGCACATCTGAGGATTACAAAAACTGTAACTTTTATTATACATATTTCATGTTACACTGTACACTTAAAACTTTCAGTTCATTAACCAGATGATACATAAACCATAGAGGAATGTTTCTTATAAAATAGCAAAACTGCCCAGCTGGCGTGGCTCAGTGGTTGAGCTTCAATGTGACCCAGCTCACGGCTCAATTCCTGGTCAGGGCACATGCCCAGGTTGTGGGCTTGATCCCCAGTATGGGGCCTGCAGGAAGCAGCTAGGCAATGATTCTCTCATCATTGGTATTTCTCTCTCTCAAATATTTTGGAGAAAAAAATAAAATACCAACACTTATCATTTGAAGTTATATTCAATAGTTTCATTAGGAGTGCTTTAGGTGCTCCAAAAGAACTATTATCAATGGACACTAATTTCATTTCTTCCTTCATAATTATATACACTATATTATTTTTTTTATGTTAAGCCTCACCAGAGGATATTTTCCCATTGATTTTAGAGAGAGTGGAAGAGAGAGGGAACGACAAACATATGTGAGAGAAACACATCAACTGGTTGCCTCCTGCACGAGCCCAGACCATGGCCCGGGTTGGGGAGGAGCCTGCAACGAAGGTACGTGTCCTTAACAGAATCGAACCCGGGAGCCTTTGGGCCAAAGGCTCTATCCACTGAGCAAAACCGGCTAGAACCATAATATATGCAATGAAAAACTTACTGACATACGGACAGAAGATACAAAACAAGAAAAACAAAGGAAAACACATTTACATACTTTATAGGCAAGCCAAAGCCTGAGAGAATGGAATTTCAGCAATATTTTAAAATGTAAACTGCTTTTATTACATCTTACCTATAAATCACGCACCAAGGCCTGCAAAATAAATTTTCTTAGTAAACTAGTTTTGGCAAACTCAATAGTAAAAAATTAAGATGCCTCTTTTGCAGAGAAAAGTCCTTACTAAAACCAATAAGTGTTTTTCACAAGATACAAACTGAATCCTAGTTTTGGATGCAATGGCTGTTGAGTTGGCTTAACTTTATCACATACTAAAATTTGCTGATAGTTAAGGGACAGCAGAGGTGAGGCAGGCTAACAAAAAAGTCACCAAGACAACAATATGCTTCAATTTTGAAGACTCAGTTTATTAACTGACCAGATTTACAAAAATAAGCATGGTAGATACCTGAAAGGGAAAAACAAAAACAAAAAAACATTAAAGAAGCCACCTCAATAGCTAGGAATTAACATAAATCAGGAGGTTATGAAGTACCAATTCAGTTTCCATTTTTAAGTAGAAAAAAACAGATCTTCCCCCCTCCATAAATAACCAAACCAACTGTAACCCCACTAAATATATTAGAACTCAAACCAAACCCATATCAATATTTAGTGGGAGAAGTATGAGACTGCATCCCATTTACTCGAGTATTAAGTAAACCTCTCTCGAGTAGATGCTCACCTTAGTTCATCCTTCTAATAAGCCTATTGATCTGGTCTTCCCTGTTCCCAGCATCTCCACCTTCTACAAAATGGGTGGTCTTCTTCTTCATCCCACCACGTGGAGAAGATAACTTAAAGGGCCACAGGAAGTTGTTCACTTCTTTGAAGCGCTTTCCAACAGTGATGAATCAGATCTTCCATGCAGATGATGCCATATTTACCTGAACATTTTAAGGTTAAGATATTACTTTTTAAAAAGATCGCGATCGCTAAATTTTAAGGTACTGAACAAACACAATTATAGGCTATAATGTATAGTTAAAAGTAAATAAAAACAAGAGAAAAATGCATGGCCACAAGACGCCAGAAAATACTAATATCAACTTTCCCCCAAAGAGGCAGAACCTACCAAGAGATCGAGCAATCAGTGAGTTATCTGTCAGGGCAATTCGTTTTTTGTTGATTTTGCCATAACCACGCTTGTAGATCAATTCATTCACTGACTTCAGGTTTGGGTACCTGAAATAAGAAAGCAGACATAAACGACCAAACAATAAGGTTACCGCTGTCAAAACACCTAAAATCCATCTCGCTAACATAACCAACGTCCCCAATAGAAGTCAAAGGAGAAGGCAGACTCACCCCCAAGCAATGTATGGCTCCACAATCCTCAGCATGTTAATGGAAGCCTTGTTGAGCTTAACAAAGGTGCCGTTGAAGATCTGGCGGAGGCGAAGAAGCTGCAGCACCTTCCGGACCTTTGGGCTCACACCATTGATACTGCAGTGAAAAAAGACCAACAATTTCACTTGGCTTTTTATAAGAATTTTTATTAATGAAGGACAGGAAACCATTACAATTTTGGACAACACAAGTCCACCCAAATAGACGGGAATCCTCTCCTGCTACAAAGACCACTGGTGTTTTTCCTTATTCAGCTAAATTTTTCTATCACCTCTCCCAACTTGCCCCCTCCCGAGTGAACTGCCTTTGGACACATACCTATGACATTTAAACGTCCCCCGACCCTTCTACCACTTCCGGGTTTTGACACATCTGTAATACACTCAGGAGGCTACACTTTTAACTA